TGTTGAGGAATAGTTGTGGGAATTTGAATATGGACTTGATATTAGGAAATAATTGTTCATTTTTTTGGATGTGATAACGGTATTGTGAGTAGGTAGGAGAATGTCTTTGTCCTTAGGCGATGCAGGTTGAAGTATTTAGGGGTGAAATGCCATGACCATTGCAACTTACTTTGAAATGGTTCAGCAAAAAATAGAGGGATGATAGATAGATAGATAGATAGATAGATAGATAGATAGATAGATAAAGCAAATATGGCTTGTTTCATTAAGGCAGTGGCTATGCTGATGTTCATTGTACTGTTACCCAATGTTATCATAGTTTGAAATTTTTCAAAATAAAAAGTTTAAACATTAATTGTCAAAGAGAACCAGAAAATCACCATTTTGCAACCATTCTAGTAATAATGAATTCAGCAAGAGTCAATAGATTCTTTTTAAAAAATATTTTTATTGATTTCAGGAAAGAGAGAGAGAGAGAGAGAGAAACATCAATGATGAAAGACAATCATTGATTGGCTGCCTCCTGCACGCCCCACACTGGAGATTGAACCCACAACCCAGGCATGTGCCCCGACCGGGAATCAAACCCTGACCTCCTGGGTCATAGGTCGACGCTCAACCACTGAGCCATGCCAACTGGGAAGATTCTAAACCATTTAAAACCATTTGAAAATTTGAAGACAGGCAGGACATGTGGGATAGTCTCAGTAATTTTACCCCCAGGTTACTAATTAGTTCCGAAAGGGGGAAACGGTAATTTTACAGTGGAGAATGGCAGCCGACCCCACTTAACCGGGAGATGCAGGCTGACATCATCAGTCATGGGACCAACAGATGCCCTGTGCCTCCTGATGTGCTCCCGAGGAGTATTCCTGCCAAACGTTCAAGCCTGTGATGTTACTGTTAAAGTTCCTGAATTTGATAATGAGACAGTACTGTGATATAGAGCCTATATAATAAAAGCCTAATATGCTGAGTGTCCGACCATCCATTTGACCAGTCACTATGACGTGCACTGACCACCAGGGGGAAGACGCTCGACTGGTAGGTTAGCTTGCTGCTGGGATCCAGCCGATCAGGACTGGGCGAGACAGACCAGACACGTCCTGGAGCCTTCCCATGATCCCTCCCCAGCCCCAATTGTGCACCGGTGTGAGGGACCCCACCGGTGCACGGATTCGTGCACCAGGCCTTTAGTATTTATTTGTACCAACTGTGTAGAGAGAGGGAGTGATAAAGCGAGACAAAATGTTATCAGTGGGTGCATCTGGCCACATAGGAGTCCTTCTACTACTGGTGCAATGATAAATTATTTGGAGTAAAAAAATAATTAGTAAAATCTAAATTAGACCTAGACCAGTTGGGGAGGCAGCTCCTAATTTTGATGGGAACTAAATACAGAAATTAAGAGAAAATTAAATCTTGGTAGGGTGACTTGCATTTAAATACCTTGAGTGCCTTGGTATTCCCTCCAGTTCCGGGAATGCTTGTTCACTCTATGGAGCTGGGAGGCCAGGAGGCACCCCGAGTGACCTGCTGCAAAGGGGGCCCCTCCCAGATGCTCTGGTTCTCTGTCCGGGACCTTTTCTTTCCAGTTGAGAATCCTTATCCTTATGCTGAAAGCCAGTCCATCCCCGCCCCCTCTGGCTCCCCCTGCAAAGAGAGCTGTGGGGGACCCCCTCGGTCCCTCAGCATCTGCCCCGCACAGCACCCGTGTGCTTTATGCCTCCTGGGACTCTTTTCCAATTGTCCTCTCTGCCCGCTTCCTTCTGGACTAGACTACTCCGTCCCCAGCTGGCTTTCATTTTCCTTGTCCGTCTTTACACGGGAGTTTTAGCCCAGCACTGGATAAGGCGTACGGCCCCAGCAAATCTTCCTGAGCCATCATCTTCAGAAAGCATTTAGTAAGTGCTCAGTACATCTAGAAAAAATTTTTTCATTTGTAATGCTAACAATGAAAAACATACATAGTGTCAAAATAAGCCAAAGGAAAATCATTTGGGCAAATATAAAAAGGACCCCAAGTAAAATTTCCTTTATTAACCTTTGGTCGAGAATAGGTTTGTATATTTTCAGAAGACAACTCCAAGACCATGTGAATTCCTGCAACAGAGAGGAATTATCCGGAATGCTCCAGCCATGAGGACAAGAGGAAAAACAATCCAGAGACGGAAGACGCTGACGACGCTTTGCCATACTAGCAGTCAAGCAGCTGTGCATCGCTGCAGGTTGCCCAGAATCAAACCAGAGAGGGTCGGACCTGCATTGCCACCATTTGTCCACCATCCAGAACTGAAATATCATTGCTGACATATACACATAAGGAACTGTCGGACATTGAAACTTGGACTCAGAATTGTTGGACATTGAAATTGGGACTTAAGCATTTTTGTTCTTATATGTTTATTTCTGGTCTACAAATACAAGATTTTTTTAAGGAAAAAAGAAGGGGGAGGTGTGGGAAACCGCCTATTGTCTTCACTAGCAGAGAGGTGTAGACAGAGAACCCGGAAGGCTGGTGACCTCTGAAGCCCTAGCAAAGGTCAGAGCTGTGCACCACCTCTGTTAATCCAGATAATGGTAGCTGAAGCAACCTCCCCACCTTTAATCATGTAAATCCTTATTGATAAGAATAGTCTGTGTGTCACTGGAACCTCCCAAGGGCTATACTATGGGTGAATCCCAAACCAAATAAAAGGTCGGTGCGGCCTGAGGACCAGGGGAAGTCTTTCCTCTTGAGTTGGACTTACCCGCCTGGCCCCCCAATATTTCCAAATTAAAATAAAATAAAAAAAATAAGTGCTCAGAAGAGAGGGGATGGGTGAGGGTAGATACTTTTGGGCCCTCTAACAATCTTTGGGCTTAATGTGTAAGGGATATGAACCAACAGGCAAACAAACCAAGAGAACTTACAAAACACATTTCAAACAAGAACTTTTGACCATCAGCACCGTAAAGCTGAAACTCCGAAGCACTCAGCTGGGAGCCTCCCTCTGGCCTTACTGATTCTCTTCCTGAAGAATATTACATCTTCAAGATTGTGTTTTCTGGTCTTCCCAACTCCCCAGAGAACTTCTGGGAGAAGGGACAGCCTCTGTGGTTTTGTCCCCGCATGGCCTTCTCCAGTTTCCGCATACCCAGCTCTGCCCACTTGCAGCAGGCATCCAGGTCCCCGCAGAGCTGCCTACACTAAATGCCTCAGCCTCGCCCTAGCCGGTTTGGCTCAGTGGATAGAGCGTCGGCCTGCAGACTGAAAGGTCCCAGGTTCGATTCCGGTCAAGGGCATGTGCCTTGGTTGCGGGCACATCTCCAGTAGGGGGTGTGCAGGAGGCAGCTGGTCGATGTTTCTCTCTCATCCATGTTTCTAACTCTCTATCCCTCTCCCTTCCTCTCTGCAAAAAATCAATAAAAATATATATGTAGAAAAAATTAAAAAATAAATAAATGCCTCAGCCTCAGTCCAGTCAGTCCAGAGAATAGCCCAGGGAGGCGGATGGGGCAGAGCTTCAGGGTCTGATAAACCTGGGACAGTAATTTACAGGCTGGGCAAGTATGTGGCCTCCGGCAAGTCACATGGCCTCCAAGCGCCCGTTTCTTCTCCTGAAAAAATACAGATAATAAAACTGGCTTCTTCCCCCAAATAACTGGGTGGACTGAGAAGACACAGACCTCCCTGCGCTGGCCAATGTTCTGAAACATGAGTGACCACCAGGGGCCATCTGTCGAGCCATGTCCCCTGTATGCAGGGCTGCCCCTGGGGGCAGGTGAAGGTCATCCATGCTGAATGCCTCCACTCTCTCCTCCCAATCTCCCTAAACAGACTCGGGCACAATCTGGTTAACATGAACAGCAGGCATCAGAGATGGACTGGAAGGATTTAACACTGATTCCCTAGGAGGCTGTAAGAAGCAGGAGGCACCCACTACAGAGCCAGGCTGCCTGGTTCAAATCCCAGCTCCACCATTCCCTAGCCCTGTGAGCTTGGGCAGGGTTACCTAATCTCTGTACCTCCATTTCCTCATCTATAAACCAGAGATGATAACAACGGCACCTACGTCACGGCGCTGCTCTGAGAATTAGATGAGTTAACGCATAAATATAGAGCACGTGGGTATTACTGCATCTCATTGAAGCCGATACATCCATACACTGCGAAATTAAAACTGCTGCCAGTTAAACCAGGACACCTCATCGATGGAACTGGAACTGAAAACACATATTGGTTTCAGAAATGTGAAACAAACAGGTGTTAACATGGGGGAAGTACCATATCACTATTTGGAGGCCTGCAGCGAAAATACATCAGCTTTAGGGTAGGGCTCAAACCCCAAGTCCACCACCTGGGCGACCTTATGCAAGATGCTTCACCTCTCTGTGCCTCGGTTTTCCATTGGGCACATGCCGATCGCATTATTACTCACCTCGCAAGACTGGAGGGGGAATATGTGCTCCAGTACTTACTAGTAGACGGCACCTGGTACAGAGTAGGCGCTAGCGTGGCTATTATGTAAAAGTTATTCTTTCCAGGTTGGAGCATGGCCATGGGAGGACGAAGGGGACATGCCCAGCCCGTTTTGTAGAAAGAGGGTCCTGGCCTCTCCTGCCCTTCTGGCTGCGCGAAGGTCAGGAGGTACAGGGACCCCCCGCGCCCCGCCCCGCCAGGCCCCGCCCCCCCTCCGGGGCCCGCCCCCTTCACGCTCCCGCCCCGCGCTAGTCTCGCGCACTTTCCGGCCGGGACCCGGGCCGGCGGTTGGTTGGGCGATACCATCTGTGCCGCTACGTGGGGGGAGTTAAAACCCACGCATCCATATTTTCCCATTTTTTAGATTTTCTGACCCAGGTGCTTGTCCATTTTTAGCCTCTCCATATCTCTATCTGCTAAGGTTCCCAGGAAGGAGACCTCGCTCTCCAGGGAGCGGGTCGTGGCGTCTCCGAACGGCGCGCTCCCCCTCCAGCCGGGGAGCCGTGGGCGCGGCGAGTGCCGTCGGGCGGAGGAGGCGGCCCCAGCGCCATTTTGTGAGAGCGAAGCGGTCGCTGGGCTGCTCCTGGATCCCCGGCTGCTTGACTCTCCCTGTCGGGCCTCCTGTCAGCGGCCTAGCGGGTGAGTCGCGGCCGCTTCTCACTAAGGACGGCCCGGGCGCCTCGGCTCCGGCCCGGCTGGCCAGGGACGGACTCAGCGGCTGCGAACCCCGCCCGGCCTGGCGCGGCTGTCAGCGGGGCCGGAGCGGGGATGCGCAGCCCGAGCCGAGGCTTGGCCCGGTTTGGGCACCCGGGCAGTGCCTGGTGCCCCCGGGACTGTGCCCTCCGGGGGGCACTGCCCGCTTAGGCCTGGCGCTCTGCGGCCCCGCAGGCCGCGCTGAGCAGCTCCGACCTCAGCTGTCACGCACGGGCTTCTGGGAGGCGGCGGCCCGCGTCGCCCAGGACCTGTCGCCGCTGCCCTTGGGGCTCAAGTTGAGAGAGCCCCCAAGTCCCAAAATGAGGAACAGGGGGGACCTTCTCCCCTGTTTGTTCCCTTCACCTGGCTCCCTGCGCCCGTTCGGGCCTGAGACCCGGCCGCTCAGCGCGTTCCTAGGGAATCGCCTTCGCCCCCCTCCTCCTCCCACACACGCCGCCACCAGCCTAGGTTCCCCCCGACCCCCCACATCATCGACTGCTCCCCAGTACACACATCACGGCTGTAATGAGATGGCGACTCGTTTGCTGTCTCCCTCTTGCTGGCCGCACCCCTGGGAACCAGCACGGTGCAGCGCCAGGCGCACAGTAGGCGCGCAGCAGATGTTCGTGGAATGAATGGATGAATGAATGAATGAGCGAGCGAGGCGCCCATTTTAGCAGGATTCTTCACCTCCTACCGTTTCGGGGACAGACAGCTAGAGCCCAGGCAGCCAGGACTTTTCTGGAAGCCCTAGGACAATGGCAGGGTCGTGGGACGGGTCCGCTGATGATAAGGAAACGGTGCCTTTGACGCACGCGTTGGTCATTCGTCTCTCTTTTCCCTTTAAGAAAAACGGAAGATGTCGGAATATATCCGGGTAACGGAAGACGAGAATGACGAGCCCATTGAAATTCCATCGGAAGACGACGGGACGGTGCTGCTGTCCACGGTCACGGCCCAGTTTCCGGGGGCCTGCGGGCTGCGCTACCGGAACCCCGTGTCGCAGTGCATGCGCGGCGTCCGGCTGGTGGAGGGCATTCTGCACGCCCCGGACGCCGGCTGGGGCAACCTGGTGTATGTGGTCAACTACCCCAAAGGTTCGTGGCCACCGGGCTTCGCAGCCCTGACGCTCCAGCGCAGTCGTGTTTGTGCCGCGTTGTCCGTCCGAGAGGGTGGCCTCTTTTTTTTTTTTTTTAATATATTTTGATTTTTTTACAGAGAGGAAGGGAGAGGGGTAGAGAGTTAGAAACATGGATGAGAGAGAAACATCGATCAGCTGCCTCCTGCACACCCCCAACTGGGGATGTGCCGGCAACCAATGACCGGAATCGAACCTGGGACCCCTCAGTCCGCAGGCCCATGCTCTATCCAGAGCCAAACCCGCCAGGGCGAGGGCGGCCTCTTTTCATGGGGCAACGTCTCCTATAACCCAAGTATTTCTTTAAACCTTGCTTACTATTAGACTAGTTTGTAAGAGCACTAGTGTAAATGAGAACTGCAAGTTACAGAAGCTTTTTTAAAAGTGAAAAGTGTGTGTTTAAGAATCTGAACAAATGTTGCCATGTTTAGACAATGATGTATCAGTGTAGGTCCATCGTTTGTAACAAACGTGTCACCGTGGGAGGGATGTTGATGGGGGAAGGTGTGGGGAGAAAGGGCAGTACTTATATGGGAAATCTCTGCCTTCCTCTCAATTTTGCTGTGAACCTAAAGTTGTTCAAAAATGTCTGTGTTTTTTTTTTTAATTTTCATTCATTTCTTCTCTTCCCTTTCTAATTTTGCTTTTTAAAAAATAACCTAAGGTTTTTTAATATTACAAAAATTAATGTGCCTTTATTATTGAAAGTTTAGAAAAGAAAATTGAAATCACCCTAAATCTACAGCTGGAAATAAAAGTTGCTGATTTTTTTTTTTTTTTTTTGGCAGATAGCCTGTAAGTTAATTAAGCAAATACATTTAATAGGCAAAAAGATGGTAATTACTCTTTTAACCTGATTTTTTCCTCAATGTATTTCAAAGTCAGAGTGAAGTAGAATTATTTATGTTTTGATATGCCTTCTGAGAAGGGAGGATATATATTTGTAATCTTGTGACACTACAAAACCAGAGGTATGAGTCCCTGGATTTGCACCAGAAAAGCACCTCAACCACTGACTCAATCCTTTATTCTGTCTCTGAGAGCTGAGTTCCTCTTTGCCAAAAGTTGAAACATCTTTATGGTCTTAGAATCTTTTTGCTTCTCACTCCTAGTTGTAGGAGGCAGTGTGTTTTGAAACGTGTTACATGAAGAGTTCTCAAAGGTTTCTGCTCATTTTGTTTAGATAACAAAAGGAAAATGGATGAAACAGATGCTTCATCAGCAGTGAAAGTGAAAAGAGCCGTCCAGAAAACATCTGATTTAATAGTGTTGGGTCTCCCATGGAAAACAACTGAGCAGGATCTAAAAGAATATTTTAGTACCTTTGGAGAAGTTCTTATGGTTCAGGTAAACTTTGATTTCATTTAACAGTTTTTCTGGGTGAATGAGCACGCAGAATTCCTGTTTTAGTGACACTGCCCTTCATGTTCAACAGACAGTATTTTTTTTTTTTAAGTATATTTTTATTGATTTTTTACAGAGAGGAAGGGAGAGAGAGAGAGAGTCAGAAACATCTATGAGAGAAACATCGATCAGCCGCCTCCTGCACATCCCCCACCAGGGATGTGCCCGCAGCCCAGGTACATGCCCTTGACCGGAATCGAACCTGGGACCTTTCAGTCCGCAGGCCGATGCTCTATCCACTGAGCCAAACCGGTTTCGGCCGGACAGTATTTTTAATTTAAGATTCGCAAACATTAGATCTAGTTTATCTTTGCATTCTAAAACATTTTATTGAAATTCTGATATGTAAAACAGTATTATTCTGCTATAAACAGAATCTAAATTCAACATAGATTTATTCTTGGGGTTTTTACACCAAGAATAATTTGGTTTAAATTTTAATTAAGCCACTGCATCCAATTGAAGCCATTCACATTGTCAAGGAATTTCTCATTTGGTTATGTGTCTGTGTTGTTTTAGTAAATTTAGATGATTTTTTTCTAGGTCAAGAAAGATATTAAAACTGGTCATTCAAAAGGGTTTGGGTTTGTTCGATTTACGGAATATGAAACCCAGGTGAAAGTAATGTCACAGAGACATATGATAGATGGCCGATGGTGTGACTGTAAACTTCCTAATTCTAAGGTACTTTGCTTTGTTTATTTCTTTGCTTTTTTGCCTTTTTTATTTCTGCTTTGGGAACTTTTGCTGACAAACTTCCTATAGAAGACACTATAAAATAAAGCGTTAAATACACTTGGAAAGGTAGTGTCAGGATGTTTTCTTGAAATCTCTTGGCTGGTTAAAGCCTTGGGACCTTAATGCATGCTGAATATTTTATGGCTGTTTGAAACATTCAGTTAAATATCCCTCTAAACCAGTGGTTCTCAACCTGTGGGTTGCGACCCCTTTGGTGGTCGAACGACCCTTTCACAGGGGTCACCTAAGACCATCGGAAAACACATATATAATTACAATTCATAACAGTAGCAAAATTACAGTTATGAAATAGCAACGAAAATAATTTTATGGTTTGGGGTCACCACAACATGAGGGAACTGTATTAAAGGGTCGCGGCATTAGAAAGGTTGAGAGTCTAAACTATGTTAACAATCTTACATACATGTTAAAACAGGAAGATGATCAGAGTGCAGTAAACTTGTTATAAAAGCCTAACTTGTTCCAAGCAAGACTTGCTTATCTAGAACATTATTGATTAGTCGTTGACTTTCCTAGATCCAAATATACTTTCATGAACTTAAAACTTTAAAACTGCGTTTGTCATTGAAGTCTTACAAGAAGGAGGAGTGCTAATGCAAAAAAATAAAAATGTACTTATTTTTTAATGACTCACCTGAGGTAAAGGCAGATAGGTTGTGTTACATCCTCCGCCATAATGCCTTTTCCATTGCTCATAAAATATTTCTGATTGTTTTTCCTACCTTTGAATTTGCTCAGCAAAGCCCAGATGAGCCTCTGCGAAGCAGAAAGGTGTTTGTTGGGCGTTGTACAGAGGACATGACGGCTGATGAGCTGCGGCAGTTCTTTTGCCAGTACGGAGAAGTGGTAGATGTCTTCATTCCCAAACCATTCAGGGCCTTTGCCTTTGTTACATTTGCAGATGATCAGGTATTTTTCTCTTTAAAAATTTTATCCCAGCTAATTAGGTAATTTCTCTTGAACTTTTCCCTCCAGCTAATTGCCATCCATAACTAAGCTTTCTGATCTTGTAAGCTGTGCAGGGTATATGGACCTAGATATCTGTGATAAACGTTTTAGTACTTTTCAGTATGTGGTGTTTAACCAAGAGTGTTATATATCTTTAGAAAGTAAACTGAAAACTTCTTGCTGCCATTACTAAAGCTAAAGGCTAGTTTGAGTTTAAATGAAATGAGCATTCATTGTTTATTTTCCCTTCAGTTTAGATAATGGCTTGAAATCTAAATTTTATTGCTACTTTGAAGTAAAAGTCAGTGGTTTAATCGCTTTTATTTACACCCCTTATTTTCTTATAGGTTGCCCAGTCTCTTTGTGGAGAGGACTTGATCATTAAAGGAATCAGCGTACATATATCCAATGCTGAACCTAAGCACAATAGCAATAGACAGTTAGAAAGAAGTGGAAGATTTGGTGGTAATCCAGGTGGCTTTGGGAATCAGGGTGGATTTGGTAACAGTAGAGGGGGCGGGGCTGGCTTGGGAAATAACCAAGGGAGTAACATGGGTGGAGGGATGAACTTCGGTGCTTTCAGCATTAACCCAGCGATGATGGCTGCCGCCCAGGCAGCGCTGCAGAGCAGCTGGGGTATGATGGGCATGTTAGCCAGTCAGCAGAACCAGTCAGGCCCATCAGGTAATAACCAAAGCCAAGGCAACATGCAGAGGGAGCCCAATCAGGCCTTTGGGTCTGGAAATAACTCTTATAGTGGTTCTAATTCAGGGGCAGCCATTGGTTGGGGATCAGCTTCAAATCCAGGATCAGGCAGTGGTTTTAATGGAGGCTTTGGCTCAAGCATGGATTCTAAACCTTCTAGCTGGGGAATGTAGACAGTGGATGACGGTTGGTTGTATAGACTGGTGGGAATTCAAATTTTTCTAATCTCATGGTAAGTATATTGTAAAATACATATGTACTAAGAATTTTCAAAATTGGTTTGTTCAGTGTGGAGTATATTCAGCAGTATTTTTGACATTTTCTTTAGAAAAAGAGGAAGAATTAAAGGAATTTTATAAGTTTTGTTACATAAAGGGTTGAAATACTGAGTGTTTGAAAGTGAACTGCTGTTTGCCTGATTGGTAAACCAACACACTACAATTGATATCAAAAGGTTTCTCCTGTAATAATTTATCCCTGGACTCGTCAAGTGAATTCTTTGCATGTTCAAAATGGAAACCATTAATTAGAGCTACATTCTTTTCTTTTAATTTGAACCCCACCATATGGATTTTTTCCTTAGGAATATCTCCTTTTTGGAGATCATGGTGTCACAGTGTTTGGTTCTTTTGTTTTTGTTTTTAACACTTGTCTCGGTTCATATGCAAAAGTACAATATGAAGCCTTCATTTAATCTCTGCAGTTCATCTCATTTCAAATGTTTATGGAAGAAGCACTTCATTGAAAGTAGTGCTGTAAATATTCTGCCATAGGAATACTTCTGTCTACATGCTTTCTCATTCAAGATTCCGTCATCACACTGCACAGGCTGCGTCTTTGACGGTGGGTGTCCCATTTTTATCCGCTACTCTTTATTTCATGGAGTCGTATCAACGCTATGAACGCAAGGCTGTGATATGGAACCAGAAGGCTGTTTGAACTTTTGAAACCTTGTGTGGGATTGATGGTGGTGCCGAGGCATGAAAGGCTAGTATGAGCGAGAAAAGGAGAGAGCGCGTGCAGAGACGGTGGTGCAAAATGGATATTTTTAACTTGGCGAGATGTGTCTCTCCATCCTGTGGCTTTGGTGAGCGTGTGCAGAGAGCAATGATAGCAAATAACGTACGAATGTTTCTTGCATTCAAAGGACATCCACATCTGTTGGAAGACTTTAAGTGAGTTTTGTTCCTAGATAACCCACCTTAGCTGAATGTGTTAAGTGAAACGATACTTGTATTTCCCCTCTCCCTTTGTCAACTGCTGTGAATGCTGTATGGTGTGTGTTCTCTTCTGTTACTGATCTGTAAGTGTGGTCATGTGAACTGAAGCTGGTGGGTTGAGAACATGGACTGAGCTTGTGGTGTGCTTTGCAGGAGTACTTGGAAGCAGAGCTCACCCGTGAGCTGGGGGTGTCTCAAAGGAGGGTGGGCGTTCTAATGTCTGTCAGCCACCCCTAAGAATGCTGTTTGCTGCAGTTCTGTGTCCTGTGCTTGGATGCTTTTTATAAGAGTTGTCAATGTTGGAAATTCTTAAATAAAACTGATTTAAATAATATGTGTCTTTGTTTTGCAGCCCTGAATGCAAAGAATTCATAGCAGTTAATTCCCCTTTTTTGACCCTTTTGAGATGGAACTTTCATAAAGTTTCTTGGCAATAGTTTATTTTGCTTCAAATAAACTTATTTGAAAAGTTGTCTCAAGTCAAATGGATTCATCACCTGTCATGCATTGACACCTGATACCCAGACTTAATTGCTATTTGTTCTTGCATTGTCCAAAGTGAAAAGTTGTTTTGTTTTTCTTTTTAAACCTATCTTTTAATAAGTCTGGGTGACCGCACCTAAAATGGTAAGCAGTGCCCTCCAGCTTTTCCTTAGTGCCTCTGTGCATTTGGGTGATGTTCTATTTACATGGCCTGTATAGATCTCCATTGGGAAATCATCCCTCCTAAAAATCTTATTTGGGGGAGTGGGCAAAACAGTGTTAATTCTTTTTAAATGCTTTGTAGCAAAGCATATCAATTGAAAGGGAATATTAGCGCCTTTTTAGTTTGGTATTTGAAAAGTGGAATTAATTGCAATGGGGATAAAAGTAGAAGAAACCACAAATTATCTTGTGCCTGAAATCCATTAAGAAGCTTGATAGCTTTAAGAACTATCAGGGTGTGGTGGGTTGTCTGTGAAAGTGTTAATTGAAATGGACAAAGTCCTCCCAAGGTGGGGGAAATACAGTCCTGCTGAATAAAATCGTTTACAAAACTCAGATTAGACTCTCACGATGCATTGTTAAGTATGTAAAAGCGATGATATATTGATTATTGTACTTTTTATGTAACTACTGCTAGGAGAGTTGAGCTTGTTTTCGAATGGAAGAATGTAACAGTTCTTGTGCTGATAGTTTACCTAATGCCCTTATCTAATTAGATTATGATAAATAGGATTTTTGCAAATTACATGTTTTAAACTTTTATAAAGTGAAGTCATCCTTTAGACCTGTGATCGCCACATTGTTTCATTATTCAGTTTCCTCTGTAAAAGGATCTTGCAGTTGTTTAATTTTTTTTTTTTTTCTGCATCTAAATTGCATGATTTCCAAACCCTGTACCATCTGAATTTTGCATTTTAGCACTTGCACTATTACTCAGCAGCAGTAACATGGTAACACTTAAAATGGTATTCGGGGACCTCCAAAGACTAAACTGACAAGCCTTCAAGGAGCCCAGGGGTAAGTTACCTTGTCAATGGCATGGTTTTAATCCCTCTTTACACTTGTGTAAACCTAGTAACTGGTCTTGGAAGGCTTTCAATGTTGAGTAGCCTTCTCTTAATATGTTTGTGGTAATCCATAGCTATGGGCATTTAATTCTACCCTAAACTTTTTTTTTTTTAAGTTTAGAAGTAAACTATTTGGCAAAGATTTGTTTTTAAAGTCTATTTGGTCATCTAAATGCATTCATTCTAAACATTTTTTGAACCAGTTGAATAAAAATTTTTGTTGCCACCAGTTTAGTGTCTGGCGTCTTACTGGAAACACAGTTTCCTTTTTCTATGTGACAAAGATGCTGAAAGTTACCTTTAAAAAGTGAGTCTCAAGAAGTTGCACTTTACATGCACAAGAGAAATTAGGGCAGAACTCACAATGAATTTTTAAATACAATGGTAACTCTGGCTAGAATGAAAAGCTTTGTTAGATGTTAGCTATTAACTCTTTTTAGGAAGGACTAGCCAACTAAAATGAAATATTTTTAAGCCTAAGACAGAGCTTAAATTTTGTCCTTAGGAAAAAGAAGTTAACTACTTAATTTGGAAGATGTATGTGATAATTAGAATAATTTGTTTTTGAGTACTAGGACAATAGCTCTTAATTGTGTATTCAGGTTCTATACTCGTATTGTGTGATCTGTGATCTATTGTTTGGCTAACTGTGACCCTCTTTTACATGTTTATCATAAGAAGGAAAAAAAATACAGATTTATCTATAGTACCACCATTTACTTCTGGTGTCATATTTCATCTTATGGAAATGCCACATTTAATTCCATTGTCTTCTGAATTTGAACGTTATTTAGGTTATTTCCAAGTGCTGGGAGCGTGGCTAAATTAAGTTCTTAGCATTGGAATTACTAGGTTAAAGACTATGCATGCTTTTAAGGCTTTTGAAATACATTGCAAAATTTTCCTTTAGAAAATTTGTGTTGTATTTGACAATGTGAATAGTGCTACTCCATGTTCATTTTGTCTACCAATTTGATAAGTGCAAAATTATATCGCTGTTTTTGTGATACTGGTTTTTAACATGGAAATTAGTACCTAGGCTAAAGTATTGATGTTTCTAGTTCATCTACAAAAATCTATGATTCAGGGTTACCCTGAATTAATACTGCTGTGATATAAAAAGCTCTCTTAGAGATCCATAAGAATAAGTCGAAAAATACTCAAAGACCATGTACAGGCCATTTCCGGAAATGCAATAAAAAAACCAGTACAAAAGGATACTGGACTCTAAGTAACACAGTGCAATCTGACCAGTGAGTTTCTATTGCTCAGGCAAAGACGAACATCACTGTGGTTCATACCCCCTTGAACCACAAGGTAAAGGGTAAAACGCTGGCCAGCCTCTCCCTGCAGTTCGGTTTTGGTTTTTGGGTGGGCGGGCGACAGTGGCTGTACTAATGTTCCTTGGGTCACATTGCTGCTGTGATCTTTTACAGGCATTTTTAAAAGGCATTTACTGATTGAAAACATACAAATCAAAAGTTATTCATTATTTTCTTGATCCAGGGAATATAGTTAATGACTTTTGTGTAAACCCCATACACTTGTGCTTCTCCACAATTATTGGAGCCCCAGGACACTATTCCTCCCACAAACCACCTGTGTGTCTCATTGTCTAGAAACACTAATGCCCCTCCACTGTCGCCTCCACAGCTATCCTTGCCCCCACTCTGTACACCAGCACAAAGCATGTTGTCAGTTACCTTGGCCTCTGGATTCAGCTTCTTTTCATAGGCAGCAGCACATGTTTGATGATCAACAATTGGTATGTCAACAAACTTCAGACTTCGGGCAAGAAAACCCCTTTGGGTTAATCCCCATCCGGATACAGTTCCAATGTCATTTGTCCTCATGAAGGATTCAGCTGCTTCTCCTGGCAAGCAGATAGGCATGATGCTGCTGTTGATGGCAACTTTGTTCTGCAGTTTAATCAGCGCTATGTCGTTATCAAAACCAGCAGCATGCCTGTAGCCCTCATGGATGAAAATGGCCTCTGCCCAGGCTTGTGTGTGATGAGGCGACAATCTCTTCAGGGCACCCATTCGAATGTTCAGGGAGGAGGCATCTTCTTTTTGCTCGTATACGGCATGAGCAGCCGTTAGGATCCAGTTGTCATTCAAAAGTGCACCTGCTGCTGTGGTGTCGCCTAATAGTAGCAGGACTTGCCAAGGAAAATCGCCAAGCTTTGCATTTTGCCCTCCATATATACGACCTTCTGTTGTACGGGCTGATAGTCCACAAACTGGGGAAAGAAGCAGATAGGTAGAGCCTTGGTAGAAACCCAGTGGTGCTTTTCTCCACCCACCACTTCGGACTTGTTAATATTTCATGTCAACCCAAAATGGTATCACCTAAATCGGCGGGTGCCCACCTGTACAGGCAGGTGAGGCTGCCTTAAAACAGCACAGTCCAAAGACCCCATGGGGAGTTCTTAGCTCCTCAGAAAATGAGGTGGGTAAAATTTCTTTTAGAAGCTGTATTTGTTTTGCAAAAAAAATAAAAGGTCTACACAGTTGGGGGGTTATTTATTAGGGCAAGCGGGAATTGGCTGAGCTGATGCATTGGGTGATGTGAATAGGAAGTGGAAGGAAATAACCTTTTCATTGCTTCTGTTATCCCACTTTAAAATGGGGTGTTCACCAGGTAGTTCTGTGAAAGCAGGAACTAGGTCACTGTCATCGGATTGGCAAAATTAATTTGACTTTTGAACATTTAAATGTTTCACAAATTAGAATGTCGCAGCTATAGCCAGGAACCTTCAGGGTCAGAAATTATTTGTCATCTAGTTGATGCTTTCAAACACTAAGTTTTACTCTATATTACTAAGGGAATACACTCAATGTACCAAATGTTTCCTACTGTGGCAGAATACTTGCATTGAAACTTGTAAACGTGGTGTCAGCTAAAATCAAATAACTAATTTAAGCCAAATAACACAGGGGTAATGAATATATTATTACCTTTCTGATTTTTTTAATATCTACTCAACTATATCTTCAGAGCCAATTCTGGTAAAAAAAAAATTTTAAGTACTATTAAAAGGCAAATTACATTAATGTTTAAAAATTAGATGTCATTGAAAACAATTGCTTAGGGAAATAATGAAGTTATTAGCTTTGGGTTTTAATAGCATTTTTAACAGGGAAGAAAAGTAACAACAGAGGAACTTAAGTTTATAAATGTATAAATGGTTCAAGATAATTTAAAAAATCATTTAATTTTTTATGCTTGCCTAGTTGTAAGGCCAAAATAATCAAATGACTGATGCAGTCAGCACCTAACAACCTCTCCACATGGAAAGGGGATAATGAGGATGTATTATTTGGAAATAATAACTTGGTCTAAGAGCCAAGTACCGAAGTTACATTTCTGCCTACCACAGCTAAAGCTCTACTTATTGTCTCCGACCCATTCCACTTTCCATCAATTACGAATCTCTTGTATAAATGTATCCATTACCAGGCTCACAGACTGGGAGTGATTTTTCTCCTTTGGAGCTCGTCCAGAATCCATCAGCCTCACACACATATTTACCTGCAAATCATTGGAAAAGCAAAAATGTTGAACTGCATGTATAAGGTGGTTGTCATTTGCTTGAATACCCCCTTAAAAATGTTGATTCCTGAGCATCCGTGGGAAATAGAGGTGTCTGAATAACCATTTTACATGATTTCCTAAATGGGAGGTCTCGGCATTACCATGTTTGCTTGCAAAGTGGAAACCTTTTAGATGTGTAACTTGAATATGTATCAAGATCTCAAGTGCTTAATGATAAGGTTTTGACTTGTTAAATTAAACCATTTGGAATATATTGTGTGTTTGTAGTAGTCATTTACTAGATAAGATCTGTTTTCAGATTCTTGCAAATTGACATTAAAGTCACTTCAGCTGTAATATTTCACTTAGCTGGTGGGAGAAGTGCCTTTTAATCTTTTGTCTAGCCTTAGCCAAAATGTTGGCTACAGTTTCTTTTCAGATGGTGAGGGCTTCGGTTCCAAGCAGCACCCACCCCCGGCCGGCCGGGAGCACCGTGCTTACCATCCCCTCTTGCCATTGTGTAGAAGGTCTCGGTGCAGCGGTACTGAATCGCAGCTTTGTACGTAGTCACCTCGGAGCCCGCCAGGTACTCCACCCGGCCGTTGGGTAGGTCATCAGGAGGGCCACACTCAACAACTAATGAACAGGGAGGGAGGAGTCAGTTTCTGCTTTTAATTCTAACACTAGAAAGATGTGGAGACGGATAGACAGTGAGCCCTGTGGTGCTGGGTTGGGGCGCCGTCCCTGCGGGGCTGGCGTGAGGCCTTTCCTCCAGGAAGGGGATCTGAAGCCACATGACTTCCTCTACGCTCTCACTTCTGACAGGAAGGTCTGCAGCCGCAGGAGGGAGGAGGCGGCACAGCCTGCACTGTCTAGCTCCCCCAAAAGGGCACTCACACGACCATACAAAGCGGACTCTGAGGGCGCAGCTTGTCCCTAGGATCCCTTTCCTAATTGAACCTATTGTTAGAGAGAGATCAGCTGCCTCCTGCACGCCCCAACCGGCGATGGACCCACAGCCTGTGTGTGTGCCCAGACCAGGAATCCAACCGCCACCTTCTGTTGTACGGATGATGCTCCAACCAACTGAGCCACACAGGCCAGGGCTCATAAACTGAACTTTCTAGAAGACCTGGAAGTCCTTGAATTTGGATTAGAATTCACACTTGGGACATTGCTAATAGGAAGGAAGGAACCACTTTGTGAGACAGTGCTAAACGTCTCCACACAGTGGATGTATAAAATCGATGCATATCTGTAGGTATTCAAAGACTGCATTTAAATGATTTTCAGCAGTATCTGTGTGCCTGGCTCTGCCAAGTGCTTTGTCTGCATTGCCTAATTGTCTGTAGATGAGACACTCTAACTACCCAACCAAAAATAGCCGAAGCAGGGCTCAAACCCAGACCTCTGGCTTCCACTGCCTTTAGAACTTCTCTGCTGCTTTTTTAACTAAAAGAATAGGTGGGAATGTAAATTTATGAAATAAAAATATTTAATTCCCCCAGGCATTTTGTAGAAATTCTTACGCAAAATATACAAAAATACATGTACAGGGTGTTAACTACAGCAAGTGCCTGTAACAGTAAAAAAAGGGGGGGGGGGGACAGTGAAAGATTAAATAAAAGCATGGTGTGATGAAATGCTGTACGGTCATTAACAAGAATGAGAGGCTCTCTTAACACCTAAACTGATGTGGGAAGATAGCCCAACAAGACGGAGAAGAGCAACTGCAATCATTAAGTATCCCATTTTGGTTAATAATAATAATAATAGCCCTAGCCAGTTTGGCTCAGTGGATAGAGTCAGCCGGTGGACTGAAGGGTCCCAGGTTCGATTCCGGTCAAGGGTACATACCTCATTTGCAGGCTCAATCCCCAGCCCTGGTCAACCAATTGATGTGTGTGCCTCACATCGATGTTTCTCTCTGTCTCTCCTCCCACTCTCAAAAAAAAAGAAAAAAAAAGACCAAAACCCACACAGGAGCACACCCGCACCTTCCCTTCCCCTGCCCCCCCCTCCCTCCCCCCCCCCCCCCCCCACACACACAGCTTGTTACCTTTGCCTTTCTCCTAAGCTCCAAGGCCCTCTGCCCCTGTAACTCATTTCCTTAGCCCATCTCTTCTACGGGCCACTTCTACCTCTCTATCATTTTTTAAAATATATTTCTATTGATTTCAGAGAGGAAGGGAGAGAGAGAGAGAGAAACATTAATGGCAAGAGAGAATCATTGATTGGCTGCTCCCTTCATGCCCCATTGGGGATGGAGTCTGCAACCCAAACGTATGCCCTGACTGGGAATCGAACTGTGACCTGGTTCATAGGCTGATGCTCAACCACTGAGCCTTGCCGGCCAGGCTGTGTAATTTTCTATTAAACTTTAACTTATAGTTTGAAAAAAAAAGCATATAATAGTGAAATACGTTAATATATGTAACATAGGAGATAAAGAATATGAAGGAGTAGACCCCAAACTCAGTGGTAGTTTAGGGATTTGGTCAAGAGTGGCTTTTACTATATATTTTTGTAAACATATTTTCCAATCAACGTGTATTTTATAATTGAAAATATATTTAAGGTAAAATACATGATTCTTAGTTCACAAAATGGTAGTACACCATGGTCTCAGTTCGGTGTGTGTGTCCACACAACTACCCCATCCCTACATGCAGTAGCCTAAACCTGTGTGCATATGTGAGACACATACACCAAAATAGTGATTAGAGTTGTACTGTGGGGTTATGGGTATTACAATGTCATTTTCTCTATTTCCCATCTTCTATAAGGATTTTATACTTAGAAAACATATATTTTTAAAGATCACACTTTTTTAAAGCAAACAATTGCCCTGGCCAGTGTGGCTCAGTTGGTTGAGCGCTGCTCCATGTGTGGAAGAGTGTCAGGTTCGATTTCCGGTCAGGGCACATACCCAGGTTTCGGGTTCAATCCCTGGCCGGGGCGGTGTTTCTCTCTCACATGGATGTTTCTCCCTCCCGCTCCCTTCTTCTCTCCCTAAAATCAATTAAAAGGAAATACAGTGGGGCCTTGACTTACGAGTTTAATTCGTTCCGTGACGGAGCTCGTAACTCAAATTACTCATATGTCAAATCAATTGTGAACGAGTAAGACACGTGGGCTGATGTTGTGCGTTCACTGTGACGTTCGCTGTGCTAACTAGTGGTGGGGTGTCTGAAGCTGGCTCGTAACCCGAATTTTAGCTCCCAACTCAAAGCAAAAAATCGGCCGAGAGACGGCTCGTATCTCGGAAAACTCGTTAGTCGGGACACTGGTAAGTCAAGGCCCCCCTGTAATTATCCTACTAGCTTGGTTTCATTTTAACCTCTAAGAGTGCACTGAGAGCCAGGGAAGAGAAGCAAATTTGGAATTCAACCCCCGAAAAATAGCATCCTTTTTACAAAGGCAGCAGCAGCAATAGAAGCAGTGGCAGCAGCAGAAGCTCCGGGGTTGTCATGTGACCGTACTGCTGCATTCTGGCATCGGCTGGTCCCAAGATCCATCCTTCTGGCAGATGGCAGTAAATGATCTCAGGGGCAAATGACCCTAAAGAGGAAGAGAAAATATTAATTTCCTTGTTTACATCAGAAAAATCATGCCCCAAACCTACACCCCCACAGAAGTTAGTTCCTCTTCTAGTGTTTCACCAGATGCTCCCAAGAGGACGATGCACCCCCATGTCTGAACGCACAGCCCAACTCTGCCTCCCGGCCGGCGCGGGCAACTGCGGGATACACCAGCTGTCAAGGTGCCTTGGCATTTTAGAACCAAATGCTGACCCCTGGCTGATTCTCCACCATCTCTCTCTCCTGTGACGTGCATGGGGAGCCGGCCAGAAGCGGGGGGAAGGCCAGCCCAGTGCGACACTGAGCAAATGTGTCTGGGTTTTCTCGCCTGCGGCCTTTGCTGGAGGAGAGCTACCCGCGTTCTCAGTGTTCATGGCTGATCGCGCTTACAGAGAAGCATTTTTTTTTTTTAAGTCCTCACAGGAGGATATTTTTCCATTGATTTTTAGAGAGAGTGGAAGAGAGAGGAAAAGAGAAATAATGATGGGAGAAAAACACATTGATTGCCTCCTGCATGCGCCCCGACCAGGGCCCGGACCAGGGAGGAGCCTGCAACCAAGGTATGTGCCCTTGACCGGAATCAAACCCAGGACCCTCCCGTCCACAGGCCGACGCTCTAGCCGCTGCGCCCAGAGAAGCCTTGTTGACCAGCTGCAGTAGCTTCCTAAAACCAGGCTCCGTGAGAGAAGGTGGCTCCGGCAGAGCCTTGTGCTGCACAGGTCGGCGGGTGATTTTTTAAAAATCAGCAACGGAGCAGGTTTGCGGTCCAAGGAGCTGCGGAGAAGAGCCGGCCCCAAAGTCTGCAAGGTGGCAAGGTGGCACTTTTTTCCTGGTGTCGCCCCCCCCCCCCCAACAGGACTGCACTGCACACCTCGCTGTCGTTTCCTGTTATTACTTCGTACCACTGGGATTCAGTGACAATTTTGAAGAACATAAAGGGGGTGTGTTAATCTCCTACCTGTGCCCCTACAGCAACACACTAAGCGTTTTTAAAAAATTATCCTCCCGCTCCCTCAACAGTGGCCACTATTTATAACTTCGCGGGACACACTGCTTCCCAGCCCGTTTAATTTTTTAATCGTTTGTGGGCCCAGGAGTTGTTCCGTTAGGTCAGCGGTTCTCAACCTGTGGGTCGCGACCCCTTTGGGGGTCGAACGACCCTTTCACAGGGGCCGCCTAAGACCATCGGAAAACACATATACAATTACATATTGTTTGGTGATTCATCACGATGCTTTAATTATGTTCCATTTGTAACAATGAAAATACATCCTGCATATCAGATATTTACATGACGATTCATAACAGTAGCAACGTTACAGTTACGAAGTAGCAACGAAAATAACTTTATGGTTGGGGGTCACCACAACGTGAGGAGCTGTATGAAAGGGCCGCGGCATGAGGAAGGTTGAGAACCACTGCGTTAGGTCATCCTAAGAATAAAAATTCTCCGTAGCCATCCCTCTCCTCAGCAAACACACACACACCCAGGCCGGCAACAGCCGTTTTCCTGCTACGTGCCTGCTGACATGAAAGTGCGCCCCTTTGGAAACTCACGGTTTAGTGGTAACTCACCCGCAGAAGCTCGTAGCCAGCCGCGCACTCCACGGAGAAGCGGTCTTGCAGGACGTACGTGGCCTGCACAGGTGCGATGCGGCCATGAGGTGGCGCCACCGGATCAGGGCACGGCTGAGCTGCGGGAGGAAGCCAGGCTGTGGGTCCTGAGGGGTCTAAGACCGTGAGTCCCGGTTCTTGGTTTATAAATGAGAGCTCTTCGGATTTAACACCAAAGCGGGGGCACCCTCGGTTGCGTGTTGTGCACGTTGGGACGTGCTGCCTGGCCTGCGCTTCAGCCAAAGCGGCGTGAGGAAGCCAGGCCTGCCCTCGCCGGTTGGCTCAGTGGATAGGGCGGCGGCCTGGGGACTGGAGGGCCCCGGTTCAATTTCAGTCGCCGCGGGCTCATTCCCAGCAGGGGCCTGTCGGAGGCAGCCTATCAATGAGTCTCTGTCACTGATTTTCTATCTCCCCTCTCCCTTCCTCTCTGAAATCAATACAAATATATGGTGTGTTTTTTTTTAAAGAGAGAGAGAGAGAGAGAGAGAGAGAGAGAGAGAGAGAGAGAGAGAGAGGAAGGAAGAGAGGAAGGGAGGGGAGGGGAGGGGAGGGGAGGGGAGGGGAGGGGAGGGGAGGGGAGGGGAGGGGAGGGGAGGGGAGGGGAGGGGAGGGGAGGGGAGGGGAGGGGAGGGAAAGCCAGGCATGACCTAGCCAGTTTGGCTCAGTGGATAGAGCATCAGCCTGGGGACTGAAGGGTCCTGGGTTTGATTCTGGTCAGGGCACATGCCTGGGTTGCAGGCTTGATCCCTAGGGGGGTGTGCAGGAGGCAGCCAATCAATGATTCTCTCTCATCGTTGATGTTTCTCTCTCCCTCTCCCTTCCTCTCTGAAATCAATAAAAACATGTATTTTTTATATTAGCCTGCTATATTTGGCCAAACATTTAACTCACCGCTAATGCCTTGGCAGGGCCAGACCAAGAGATTTCTCAGAGCTTACACAGCCCACGGGCTGGACGTCCCCCACCCTGTTAGACGCCCCGGGAAGAGACCGAGCTCCACGCTTCCTGCCGCCCGCACCTGTGCTGGTGTAGTGGACCTTCCAGCCTGTGTGGTCCCCCGACTGGTCAGTAACAAAGGTCATGGTCACAGCGTTGCTCTTGGTTTCAATCCTGCTGGGCAACGTCTTCCCACAGAATGGGCCGAATTCCTTCTTGTCTGTCTGAATCTGAAAGAAGGGGAGCCCCAGTCACCCCAGGACCTGCAGGGGTCAGGATGAGGTGGGGGCCCGGGAACCAGACCTTGAGGGAGTCGTAGGGGCACTGGGTTTCAGGGTGCGCCTCCACGTCGAAGGACTCCACGAAGTCCAGGATGACACTGAACCCCTCCTCCAGGCGGATGCTGTAGGTGCAGCTGGAGAGTTTGGGGTACGGCTGTGGGTATTCCGGGCTGCTGATCACCCCAGACCGCTCGGTGAAGACCTGGCCTGAGCACAGGGCTGGGAAGAGGGGAGAGGGCGGCGTGAGCCTGGGCTGGCGGCGCATGCACTGGTCTGGGTCGAGGCCCTGCACCTGGCCCGCCCCAGAGGCTCCTCAGGCCAAGGACCCCACCCAGGAGCTGAAGGGACAATTTAGGGAGGGGTGTCTCTAGGGCCCAGGCTTTAGCTAAAATAGGCGACACGCACATGTACATCTTCCAGGGACCCTCACACCCCAGAGAGGGTGGAGGTGGGAGTCCTGGGCCAGAGTCAGAGGGGAGTGAGTGAGGGCAGCTCCTCTGAGGGCAGAGGCACCGGAGAAGGGAGGAGGGGCTCTCCTCATTCCTCAAGAATTAGGGGGGGCGGGAGGACCAGCTAGTCTTCTTGGCTGAGGGACCCAGACCCACCCTGACCCCAGCAACCTCCAAGTTCATCCACTGTGGGGCTCCCACCACGCCCAGCCCGGGCCCTGGGTGTCCGCCTGGACGGGTCAGGAGGTCAGGAAGGGCCTCCCTTTGCCCACCCGCCCTGGGTCTGGGCTCGGCCCTGGGGCAGGTGAGGGACGCTCAGATCCACACTGATCACGGCCTTGTCTGCTGTCTTTCCCAGCCGGGACAGCTGGTTCAGCCTGCACAGCACCCCGCCATTCATGGGAGGCACACAGGGGGGCGCAGGCATTAGAGTGGGGGAGGGGGCTTCTAAAAAGAGGAGTCCCAGCTCCTCCTTCCTTTCTCCCTGTGGCTGCTACCCCCACCCGCCCCCCACCCCGCCACACACACACACACACACACACACACACAAAGGGCAGAGGGAATGGCCCCTGAACATGGGGACCAGACTGCCCACCAATGACACCTCCTTGGGCCTCTGCTCTGGGTCAGGCTCCCCAGCCCAGCTCAGCCGGACCTGCGCTGCCCTCAGAGCAGGAGGGGTCCAGATGCTCAGAGCGCAGCCCCTGGGCACCTGGTGGGGAGCAGAGAGCGCCGTTCCCCTGGGGCTCAGGCAAGTCTCCGCCCCTCTCAGCCTCTTCAGAATGGGGGTGGGGAGCCCTAACCGGTGTGGTTCAGTGTATAGGGCGTCGGCCTGGGGACTGAAGGGTCCCAGGTTCGAGTCCGGACAAGGGCATGTACCTTGGTTGCTGGCACATCCCCAGTAGGGGGGCTGCGGGAGGCAGCTGATCGATGTTTCTCTCTCACTGATGTTTCTAACTCTCTATCCCTCTCCCTTCCTCTCTGTAAAATATCAATAAAATATATATTTTTTTAAAACTGGGGGTGGGGAGCCCTTCCAGCAAGAAAGCCAGGAGGCTCCTCCAGACTGTGAGAGGGGAGGGAGGGAGAAGAGGGACCAGACGCACACCACAGCCCCCCCCCCCCACCCCGCCCCAGAGACAAACAGCCGAGGGTGGAGGTGGACCAGGTTTATTGTTAGCTCCGTGGGGGTGAATGGGGGCTGCAGGCAGCCACAGTCTCGCCGGGCCCAGAGCTGCAGCCAGCGGGCTCTGCGGGCGGAGCGGAGGGAGGCTAGAGGCTCTGCTCTGGAAGAGAGAGGGGGACAGGAGAGGTGCAGGGAGAGACACGAGGGGGAGGCAGGGTCAGGTCAGCCCAGGGTTGGGGGGCTCCCCACTCTCCAGGGCACCAGCTGGTTTCCTGTCCAGGTGTCTGGTCAGGGCACAGGGCGCATCCTCAGGCAGTGGGGCCACGGAATGGGGTCGGGGTGCTGGGCCCAGGGAACTGGTGGCTTTGGCAGGCCCTGCCCCCCATCCTGAAGTCTTGTGGGGGCCGTACTGGGGTGAGCGGACCTAGACCCCCCTCCTCCACACTGGGAGCCTCCTCTGGAGGGTGAGGGAGCTGAACGGGGTCCCAGAGCCCAGCTGGGCCAGGTGCAACGTGGGGGCCTGACCAGTGAATGAGCCGGGGAATGAGAGTGAGGCCAGGACAGGAGGGAGGAGGGGAGGACTTAGAGGATGGGGGGATGGAGGGAGGGGTGGGGTGAGGGGACAGAGAAGCAGAGCAGGGGTGCAACCTCCAGACCCCGGGGCAGAACAGCCATGGCTTTAAGGAGGGGGGGGGGCTGGGCGGCCCAGGGCACCCTGGGCCATGGCTCACCTGAGCAGGTGCGCCTGTTCTGGTGGAGCACGTAGCCCGGCCGGCAGGAGCAGTAGAAGCCACCCAGGTGGTTGTGGCAGTGGTGGTCGCAGGCGGGGGCCGCTCCGGGGGGCACCTGGCACTCATCGATGTCTGGGGGAGGGGGGGGCGGGCAGGGGTCAGCAGGAGATGGGACGGCACTGAGGCCTGGGCTCCGGGACCTCCAGCCTCAGGGTGACCGGAGAGGAGCCTCCTCCTGCCCAGCCACGCACCGTGGGCCCCGGGCCACGGCCACCTCCCCACAGCACTTGAGGGGAGGAGGAAATAACACATTCGGAAAACCAGTGACAAGGCATGTCCTGCTCAAAGTCCCCAGCTAGGAGGGGAGCAGCCAGCCCTGGAACCCAGGGGGCAGAGGGCGGGGCTAGCACACAGGCCCGCCCAACCCTTAAAGCAGCTTGTGAGGAGCACAGAGAGGGTGAGCCCCTGGCCCAAGGTCACACAGCTGGTCCCTGCAGGAGCCAGAATCTGACCTACAGACACAGGGCACCCAGCTCTGTGCATCCTCCGCCCTGAGTCACAGGAGGGCGGGCGGGGAGCTGCCAGGATGACCCCGTCTCAGCGCCTGGCACAGAGGGGGGCTGGGTCCTGGGTCCGAGGGGAGGTCGGGCTGTCACTCTCATCTGCATGGCAGATGGTGTCAGAGGAAGGAGGGCTCCTCGCCCGCTGGTTTGGCAGGAGTCCAGCCTCAGGGGCTGGGAGCCTGGAGGGGGGCCCGGCCTGACAGGGGGACCCAGGGGTCAGCGAGCCCCGGCCTCTCCCTCACCCTCTGCTGCGTAGAAGGCCTCGAAGCCCGTGAACGCCTTCTCGTTGGAGTAGTCGGAGCGGAAGGTGACGTTCAGGCTGGGGCCGGGCGAGTAGAAGGTGGTGTTGCCCGGGGCCTGCTCCGTGTCCGTGCTCTCCCAGCCGCACAGCGTGGCCAGCACCTCGGTCCCCGAGCTCAGCTGTGGGGTCGGGGGTCACCGGGAGGGACAGCCAGACCCAGGCCTCCCGCCCTCCCAGGCCAGACTCCACTCCCAGGGCCCCCTGTCCCCGAGCCCCAGCCTGTTCTGGGGGCGCCCCTGTGGGCACCTTGACGAAGTCGTACTCGCAGCGGTAGGAGAGCTCCAGGTGGAAGTGGGTGAAGTAGAGGCGCAGGCGGTAGCCCGGGGGCGCCGTCAGGGTCCAGCGCAGCTCCTGGTCGTCCGGGTACTTCCCCGGGAAGCCAGGCGACGCCAGGCGCCCGAACACGGGCTGCGGCCACTGTGTGCCCCCGGGGGCGGCTGCCGAGCCCCAGAGCAGGCCCAGGAGGATCAGCAGCCTGGGGGGAGGGGGGGACAGGAGGGGGGTGAGGGTCTGGGGACCTGCTGCCACCCCTCACCCCTGCCAGGGAGGCTGCGGGGGGCTCCCACCCACCTCATGGTGCGCCCGTCCAGCTGGCCAGGCTGGGTCTGGATTCGCAGTCTCACCTTTGATCTGTTTGTCCAACAGCCGGTCCTGCCCCTGGAATTCTGGGAATCGACCCGGTGACTCCTGCCGGCCCAGATGGCGAGGCAGGGAGGACAGGACAGTCCAGGAGCCAGGGCTGACCTGCTGGGACGCCAGCCCTGGGGACAGATCCTGCTCTGCCCCTCGCCCTCCACCTCCATGTTTCCTCCCCAGGGTGTGAGTGTGGCTGCCCAGGTCTCCATGAGGCCACAGGTAGGAATGGAGGAACGCACCCACCCCCTGCTTCTCCCCCTCCCCCGCCCCCGCCCTGCTGTGAAACACCTGAAAATAATAAACACATAAAAGAAAATAAAACACCTGATGCAGTGGGGTGGGGAGCGTGGCTTAGGGGGCGGCAGGTGGGAACACTTCTCTCCGAGCGGGCAGTAGGCCCAGGCGTCAGCTTGGAGCACCAAGTCCTTCCAGAGGCGTAAGGAGCCCGCCGATTCCTATTTCTCACCCCCCCCCCGGCCCCGCGGGAACTCGGACACTGATTCCCTCTTTCTAGCAAGAGACAGGAACCAGAGCTAATAGATGCATGTGAATGGGAACCCATGTGAGCAGCCAGCGACCCCATACTCACGAGAGGTTCCTGGAAGCTGATTCTTTTTTTAAAAAATCCCACCAGAGGATGTTTCCATTGATTTTTAGAGTGGAATGAAGGAAGGGAGGGAGGGAGGGGGAGGAGAGAGAGAAACAGCATGTGAGAGATACACTGATTGGCTGCCTCTCACACAGGCCCTGGCCGAGGATGGGATCGAACCTGCAATGCAGATGCATGCCCTTGACCGAGAATCGAACCTGTGAGCCTGAGGTTCGCTGGCTGATACTCTAACCACTGAGCACACTGGCCAGGGCTGGAAACTGGTTCTTAAAAGGGGTGCTGTGGAGGGTCCCAGGCCCAGCTGAAGGGAGCGGGAGACAGAGAACAAGGGTGTTAAGCAAACAGACTTGACACCGAGAGCCCAGCCTTCCTCCGAACGCAGCTCCTGGAATCTGGCAGCTCTCCGGCTCCTCCCTCGTCTCCGGGAAGTGTGACCAGCCCAGGGGGTAGGACCTAGATACCGACTCCGAAGGCTCCATGGGCACATGGCTCAGCCTCCGTCACCCACAGTGAGGGTCGATCGACAAGCCCCACTCAGGGGCGGAGAGCTTGTTACCCCCACGCTTTGAGCAGAGCATTCCAGGGTCACCGAGGAAAACCTCACATGTGAGAAAGATTAAAAAGAAAAATCAAGCCAAAACCGGTTTGGCTCAGTGGATAGAGCGTCGGCCTGCGGACTGAAAGGTCCCAGGTTCGATTCCGGTCAAGGGCATGTACCTGGGTTGCGGGCATATCCCCAGTAGGAGATGTGCAGGAGGCAGCTGGTCGATGTTTCTCTCTCATCGATGTTTCTAACTCTCTATCTCTCTCCCTTCCTCTCTGTAAAAAATCAATGAAATATATTAAAAAAAGAAAAATCAACCAGCCAACTGAAGAATACAGAATCCCAGCAGGGAGGAGAAGATGCCCCCTGCCCGGCCAGCGTCTCTCAGGGCTTGAGATACGACCTATGAACCAGGAGGTCACAGTTTGATTCCCGGTCAGGGCACATGCCCGGGTTGTGCAGGCTCCATCCCAGTGTGGGGCATGCAGGAGGCAGCTGATCAATGATTCTCTCTCATCATTGATGTTTCTATCCCTCTCTCTCTCTCTCTGTCTCTCTCCCTCCCTTGTTTTCTGAAATCAATAAAAATATATTTAAGCCCTAGCCTGTTTGGCTCAACGGATAGAGCGTCGGCCTGTGGACTGAAGGGTCCCAGGTTCAATTCCAGTCAAGGGCATATGCCCAGGGTGCAGGCTTGATCCCCAGTAGGGGGCGTGGGTGTGTGTGCAGGAGGCAACTAATCAATGATTCTCTCTCATTGATGTTTCTCTCTCCCTCTCCCTCTCTGAAATCAATAAAAATATATTTTTAAAAATTCTATATAATCAAAGGGTAATATGCAAATCAACCAAATGGCAGAACGACCACTGTGACGTGCACTGACCACCAGGGGGCAAACGCTCAACGCAGGAACTGCCCCCTGGTGGTCAGTGCGGCTGATGGCTCGGGCTGATGGCTGGCGAGCGCAGTGGCCCACCTCCACAGCAGCGCTAAGGATGTCCAACTGTCCATCAGTCAGACATCCCCTGGGGCTCCCAGACTGCGAAAGGGCACAAGCTGGGCTGAGGAACCCTCCACCCCTGAGTGCACAAATGTCATGCATGGGTCCTCTAGTGCAGGGGTCCTCAAACTTTTTAAACAGGGGGTCAGTTCACTGTCCCTCAGACGTTGGAGGGCCGGACTATAGTTTAAAAAAAAACTATGAACAAATTCCTATGCACACTGCACATATCTTATTTTGAAGTAAAAATACAAAATGGGAACAAATATAATATTCGTATTTGCATGTGGCCCACGGGCCGTAGTTTGAGGACCCCTGCTCTAGTATATATATATTTTTAAAAAAGAAAGAAAATGCCCCAAACCCAAGCAAAACAATCGTTACTACCTTCAGAGAAAAAAGAGGAAAGAACAGAATACTATTTATTTATTTACTAGAGGCCTGGTGCACGAATTCGTGCACGGGTGGGGTCTGGCTGGCCCGCCCCAATGGTGGCCAATTGGGCCAGGCCAGTGGGGGCAGGAGGGGACGTGGGAGGTTGGCCGCCAGCCCCGCCCACGATCCAGCCAGGGCTGGCCAGGGGCAGGAGCTGCTCCCCGATTGGCTGGTTGGCCGGCCGCAGTGTGCGTCATAGTGACTGGTCGTTCCAGTCATTCAGGTTATTCTTGTCATTCTGGCATCCCGGCCGCTTGGCTTTTATATGTAGATTGTAATTTTGAGAGAACGTTTATTAAAGCTGAGACAGTGAAACAAAGGAAGGGCTTCGGACAGAAGAAGCAACAGGAGGGAGCTCAGGCGGGGTCTGCCTCGGCTCCCTAGAAACGTTACAGGAAAGAAGTGAGCCAAGGTGAGGCTGCTGCCAGCTCGCTGCAAAGTCACAGAAAGGGGCCTTGGAGACGGTGCAGCGGGTGAGCCTGGGACGAGCTGCCGCTGCCCCTTGCTTCCCTGGTTGCTAGTTTCATGGAGACCCTTAGAGTTTAGGAGAGAAAAGTAAAGGTGCAGGCCTGGGAGGGAAGAAAGACGCGGTGTCCTGCTCCCGGGAGCCCACGCTGGGCCCTGGGCTCATTTGAAAGACAGCAATAGATAACTAATCTAAATGGAAAAGAGGCCCCCCTTTCCTCTCTGAAATCAATAAAATATTTAAATACATATGAATATTTAAATATATATGAATATTTATATATATATTTCTTGTATTGATTTCAGAGATGAAGGGGGGAGAGAGAGACAACGATGTGAGAGAATCAGTGATCAGCTGCCTCCTGCACACCCACACTGGGGACTGAGCCTGCAACCCGGGCATGTGCCCTGACTGGGAATCAAACCATGACCTCCTGCTTCATAGGTCAATGTTCAACCACTGAGCCATGCCTACTGGGCAATAAAAAAATTTTTAAAAAATAAAAATGGGCCCTAGCCGGTTTGGCTCAATGAATAGAGCATGGGCCTGCAGACTGGAATCCCTGGTTCGATTCCGGTCAAGGGCACGAACCTTGGCTGCAGGCTCCTCCCCACTGGGATCCTGGTCGGGGCTCGTGCAGGAGGCAACAGCATCAATGCTCTCACATCAGTGTTTCTCTCTGTCTTCCCCGCTCTCTTCCATTCTCTCTAAAAATCAATGGAAAAATATCCCTGGGTGAGGATTAAAAAAATAAAAGTATTTTAAAAAATAAAAATGGAAAAGAGCACATCTCAAAATGCTGAAGGAAGATTATTTCTAAGACTTCTATTCCCATCCATCGCACAGGAAGGTGGAATAGACCTTTTCATGTCAGATTTTTAAAAATTTGCATCCAATTGTCCCTTCTCAGAGAGCCACTCTAGGATATGCCCCATCAAAACAAGGGAGTAAACCAAGAAAGGAAGTCACGGGGTCCCAGACACAGAGTTCCAATAGGGAATCCCATTAGGGGTAGTTGGAACGCTCCAGACAGATCCTTCAGGACGAGGAAAATGACAGACACCTATTGAGTCCAAAGATCTTTCAAAACAATTTTTTCAGTAATCGCTTTTTTCCCTGAATGAAAGCGATATATACATTCTCGTACAAATCATTTTAATAAAGCAATGCACATTGTGTTTATTAGTATTTCCAGTTACTGAATATCCCATTAAATATAATCACGAATTCATTATAAATTATAACGGGGCTAGGTAAAATACTAAGATCGCCTATTCAAAAGTTGATTGATTAGCATATTGTTCAGCCCCTCATGAAGTGTGCTGTGTCCACAAATGTTAAGAGCTTTAGAGACTTGGTTAAAAAAAAAAAAAAGTTTGAGGTTAAACAAATGATAAATTTATTGCAAACTAAGCATATGAAAAAGTCCCCAAAAAACCTCCAGAGGAAAAACAAGGAAGCCGTGGGGAAGAGAAGTGGTCCCGACTCCTCGCCTCCGCTGCCAATGGCCTTCACGGAGCCGAGCCAGCCCAGGCCCTCATGTCATTGTGGCGAGTGTGTGCTGAGGGGGGAGCAGGGGAGGGAAAGGTAAGTCCTCAGCGTCCCCGTGGAAGCTCGGGCTGGTCAGCAATACAAGCATGTTAAGTAGACCCGGGCAAGTACCGAGATCAGCAGCTGCACGGGGTAAAGGTGGCTGCGCCCAGGGAGAGAGTGGGCACAGGCGGCCGCTTTCTTCTAACGATCCCTGTGGAGCTGAGTCCTCAGACCGGGGGCCTGGCTGATTCTGAGAAAGAACTAAACTTCAGAACTTGAGATGGGATTCATGTTAATCTCCCTGCGGCCAACTGTGCCTGTCGGTCCCCCTCCATGGCTTCTGGGACTTGAGGGGACTCGGGTCGTGTCCTCACCAAACCCCCGGCTTCTGCTTCAGTAGGTCATGCCCACCCAGACGCGGAAACCCCTCCGAGGCTGCGTGCATGTCCAGGGGACTTGAATAAGAGTGGGGAAGTGGAGGGATGGCATTGCAGACTCCACTTCCGGGGGGGCAGTTTCCCAAATGGCTCCAGCCACTTCCGCCACACGGCCCTGCTCCCCTTCCTCCTCCGCCCTGAGAGGCCATGGACCTCGCCCAGCTCAGCGAGCACC